GGGGTAAGGAATTCACACTGCTCTGGAATATTTGTATGGATGTTAAAGTGTATTTCTCTGATTCAGTTGGTGACAGCTGCTGAATTGGACCGTTGTTAATTTTGTGTGACCTTTGGATAAGATTTGAGAGCTGCAGCATTTCCTCTCCTTCAACAGGGTTAAGGGTTACTGGTGGGTAGCTGGGTGATGACAATAGGAATTGGTGGGAATTATATTTGGAAAAATAAAAAATAAAATGTAGAAATTCTAATAAGAAATGGCTTGTTCCGCATTTCAATCCAGATGCTAATTCCTTGGGGTGTGTACTGTTAAATGTACTGACTTTTCAGCTACTTGTTCCCAAAATACTAGTCTGGAAATGCAATGGTTTGTCTGAATCCTGGCTTCTGGTGGAGAGAGAGGCAAATGGGTGGTACAGTGGGGAGGCACCAGATCTGTACACTGTTCCTAGTGAAAAGAATGTCTTTGTGTTTGTCAAGGTTCCTTTCACACTCTGAACTCTAGGGTACAGATGTGGGGACCTGCATGAGAACCTCTAAGCTTAACTACCAGCTTAGATCTGGTTTTGCTGCCACCACCCAAATTATTTATGAGTCATTTGGGAAACTCTGTCTACCTCCCCCCCCAGAATATCTCCCTCCTAAGTACTATAACCCTTCCCTGGGTAGCCTTAAGAGACTCCTCCACCAATTTCCTGGTGAACACCGATCCAAACCCTTGGATCTTAAAACAAGGAGAAATTAACCATTCCCCCTTCTTTCCCCCACCAATTCCTGGTGAGTCCAGATCCAACCCCCTTGGATCTTAAAACAAGGAAAAATCAATCAGGTTCTTAAAAAGAAGGCTTTTAATTAAAGAAAGAAAGGTAAAAATCATCTCTGTAAAATCAGGATGGAAAATAACTTTACAGGGTAATCAGAATCAAAGAGCCCAGAGGAACCCCCTCTAGCCTTAGGTTCAAAGTTACAGCAAACAGAGGTAAACCCTCTAGCAAAAGGAACATTTACAAGTTGAGAAAACAAAGATAAAACTAACATGCCTTGCTTGGCTGTTACTTACAAGTTTGAAATATGAGAGACTTGTTTAGAAAGATTTGGAGAGCATGGATTGATGTCTGGTCCATCATAGTCCCAAGAGCGAACACACCCAAAACCAAAGAGCACAAACAAAAGCCTTCCCCCTCCCCAAGATTTGAAAGTATCTTGTTCCCTTATTGGTCCTTTGGGTCAGGTGTCAGCCAGGTTACCTGAGTTTCTTAACCCTTTACAGGTAAAAGGATTTTGGTGTCTCTGGCCAGGAGGGATTTTATAGTATTGTACACAGGAGGGTTGTTACCCTTCCCTTTATAGTTATGACAGTGTTTTACTACAGGGTAAGGACTATCAGGAAATTCCCTGCCTGGTACCAGAGGTCTTATTGCCAGCTCTACTGTATTTGAGTCTCTGATTGTCTTTGGAGTTTTAATGACAAAGGGTGAACTGTGGCTTTGCCATGAGCTGTGAGCGAGGGGCAGTGTGTGGTCATGCTGCCCCTGGAGCAAACCAAGGGGCAGATTGTGGCTCAGAGGCACAGTCTCCTCTCTGGATGGGTCCCCACTTACTCTGAAGGGGAAATACCCCCATTCCAGATCCATACCTAGCATTTCAGCATAGCCAGTACATTGGGGTGGAGCCAAGGCTTTGACCACTCCCCACATGGCCCCATCCACTCTTCCCCACTTGTGCAAGGGAGTGCTTTCCTTCTCATGCTGCTACCTGCAATCCAGCGCAAGGGATTAAGGTTATGCACTCTTACTTCCTTGTGCAGCTGCCACACCTACCTGAGATCGACCATCATTCCTGAAATGTGACATTGCTGTGTGGTAATAAGTGTTTCAAGCTGGTTTGTGCTGGTACAGGGTAGGCATGAGGAGCCTGACCTTTGCAGGTCAGAGATCTTTGCCAGTGAGGGCAGAGTTTATAAGTCGGTTGCTATAGCTCCAGGGTGGGAAGAAATGTGAGCAGATAGGCTCATGCAGCTTGAAAGATCTGATGTGGTCTTTTGCAAAACATGTGTGCATCTGCAAATAAAAATAGACTTTTTATGTTTTCTTTTTATTGTTCCAGTTTTTTGTTTGCTCCCCTTTCTCCATGCTTGTCATTTCCCCTCCCCCAAACACCAGTCCTTGTCTTTTTGGTTTCTTTTTTTCCTTTTGGCATGGGCAGGGATGCAATGGAAGAAATGATTTTTCACTCCAATTTTGGCCAGCTCTGGGCTCCAGCAAGGGCAGCAGCACTCCCTTACCAGAGCTGGGCTTTCTAAAGAGCTGTGCAGCTCTGACTTACTCAGAAAGCTAGGTAGCCGGGCCACACACATTGCCTAAATGCTGACTCATGGGGAGGCCTTTGCATTGGCCTCCTCTGTCCTAAGAGACATGCAGCCTGGTGTTTGGTGCAGTTCAGCCAAAGCATTAAAGTCAGCATGTGGTTCCATCCTCACTCCAACTGCTGGGTCAAATTCGCTGCTGGCCTGCACCTGGTGTCGTGGTCAGAAATAGCCCAGCTTTGATGACCTGCCAGTCACATTGTAAAATATACCTGATAGGGGTTTTTGGAGTGGGGGCTGAGGGTGTCCTGCCTAGAACAATGCAGGGTGGAATAGAACTTTCGTTGCAGGTAGTTGACTGGCAGAGCTCCTGTCTAAATGGTTCATTCCATGCTCTTGGGCTTGCTGTAATGCTAATGCTATGTTAGGGTGTCTAAACTCTTGGAGAAGTGTTGCTTTTTATTATTTACATCAAAATAAATGAGAACTGATAGGTACTCAGAATAGTAGAGATTTACACAGACTTTGCATGGCTGTAAATGATAATACAAGATGCAGGGCAATGGTGGAACAGATCTGTTATTCCTGAATTTTTCATGTCAGACCCTTCCTGTCCTAAAAAGACTTGTTGTGGGGAATAGGACTAAACAATTGGGGGGTCTGTCTTTTCTAATGGTTCTGGCATCTTCCAATTATGTGCTACCCCGTGGAATAGCTTCCAAGAAACATATTGACACAGAGACACACACAAAAACACCACAAGGCAATCAAGCACACCGGCACAACCCTCCAAAAAGTCACACAGACACCAATGAGATCAGCAAAACCACAGACAAAAAACATATGGCACATGATAACTAGGGCCCAGAGGTGAAAGTAAGCCGGTACGCCGGTAAGCCGTACCGGGGCGAATCGGCTTCCCCTGGTGGCAATTTAAAGGGCTTGGGGCTTCCAGCAGCAGCTAGAGCCCCGGGCCCTTTAAATCACCCCCGGGGCTCCCAGCCGCCTCTACAGCTGGTAGCTCCGGGGTGATTTAAAGTGCCTGGGGATTTAAAGGCCCCGCCTCTTCCAGTTGAGGCCCCGCCCCCTCCTAAGGACTCCGGAGTACCGGTAAATCCTTTAAGTTACTTTCACCCCTGCTAGGGCCCTACCAAATTCATGGCCATGAAGAACGCATCATGGACCGTGAAATCTGGCCTCCCTCCATGAAATCTGGTGTTTTGTGTGCTTTTACCCTATTCTATACAGATTTCACTGGGGAGACCAGCATTTCTCAAATTGGGGGTCCTGCCCAAAAGGGAATTGCAGGGGATCACAAGGTTATTTTAGGGGGGTTGTAGTATTGCCACCTTTGCTTTTGCACTACCTTCAGAGTTGAGCGGCCATAGAGAGCGGCTGTTGGATGGGCACTCAGCTCTGAAGGCAGTGCCCCGCCAGCAGCAGCGCAGAAGTAAGGATGGCAATACCAGACCATGCCACCCTTACTTCTGCGCTGCTGCCTTCGGAGCTGGGCGGCCGGAGAGTTGCAGCTGCTGACTGGGTGCCCAGCTCTGCAGGCTGCAGCGCAGAAGGGTGGCAATACCATACCATGCCATCCTTACTTCTGCGCTGCTGCTGGCGGCGGCTCTGCCTTCAGAGCTGGGCGCCCATCCAACAGCCGCTGCTCTCTGGCTGCCCAGCTCTGAAGACAGTGCTGGCGCCAGCAACAGCGCAGAAGTAAGGCTAGTAGTACCGCAATTCCCCTACAATAACCTTGCAACCCCCCACACCTCTTTTTTGGGTCAAGACCCCTACAATTACAACACTATGAAATTTCAGATTTAAATAGCTGAAATAAAGAAATTTATTATTTTAAAAATCCTATGACCATGAAATTGACCAAAATGGATCGCGAATTTGGTAGGGCCCTAATGATAACTCTGTGGAGAAAGGAGACAGACATACTCATAAATTCAGATACACTCACACACATGCAAACATGGACTCACTTGCACAGAGACGCACATATATAGAGGCAGTAACACACACAATTCACACACATGTAAATGCACAGGCACACTCACACAGGAACACAGACAAAATGTGAGACAGAGACACAGCCAGAGACACATGAGCAGGACCCAGTGGCACATAAACACAGAGCTACAACCACACACATACAAGCACCCAGAGGGTCACATGCACATGATGCAATATTGATATTGCACACACGCACAGGGCCGGCTTTAGGCCAATTCCCCGAATCGGGCCCCGTGCCTAAGAGGGCCCCGCGCCCAGTGGGAGGGACGCCCAGAGTGGGGGGCAAGTGCCAGAGAATCCCTTCCCTGGCTAGAGGCACCTTTTTAATTTTTACTCACCCGGCGGCGCTCCAGGTCTTTGGCGGCGGGTCCTTCACTCGCTCCGGGTCTTTGGCGGCGGGTCCTTCAGTGCCGCCGAAGATCCGGAGCAAGTGAAGGACCCACCACCAAAGACTAGGAGCGTGGCCCGGTGAGTACAAGCCCCACGTGTTTTTTTTATGTGGTTTTTTTTTAAGTCATCCCTGCCGGGGCCCCGTCGAAACTGTTCGAATCAGGCCCCGCACTTCCTAAAGCCAGCCCTGCACACGCATAGTCACAGAGAAGTACCTCCCCTCCTTTCACTTACACATAGATCTGGTTTGTTATAAACCCCAGTGCTTTCTTGTCTTGTTTTAACAGATGACTGCCACAGCGCAACAGCCGGCTAAGGCACAGCCAGTGCACATCACAACACCCTCGGCAGCAGCCAACACCCCAGTCCCCAGCACTCCTATTGACCCTCAGGCGCAGCTGGAGGCTGACAAGCGAGCTGTCTACAGGTACAGAGAAACTACTGCCAGGCTGCTCTTTAATGTTCCTTCCCATCACTGGAGTGGCATGTTGAGCTATTACTGCAAGCTGGCCTGGGGCTAACATGTCAGCAGGAGTCTACAGAGAGGCATTTACTTAGGCGTCCTTCTCAATAGATTTGTCAGGAGGCAGCTTTCAGTTCACCTTAAACTAGGTGAGACCCATATTCCAGAAGAAAGAGTTCTGCTTTCTTTGTTAGAGAAATCAAAGGTATCTACACACCATCGTGCTGAACAATATGCAGGAGACAGTGACCCCAGTGCACCTGGGATGCTAGAGATCAGGAACAATTAATATGTGATGGAAGATATTAGGATGAAATGCTCAGTGGATACTGGGGAATTCTGAATTCCTTCTGTTACTTTCCCTTCCTAATTTGTTTGGCTTCTCACCTGGTTATTCCTTGTACCTCACTGGTCTAAAATGACCATGGGATTCAGTTATCATTGCTTTTTTAAAGGGGAATGTCTGGATACTGGGATACTATCTGATGCCTGTTTGGCTGCCTCTCTGACATAAGTAGTCAGCCAGACCTGCTCACCCTGCTGTCCAAGCCCCACCTGGGCAGCAGGCTCACACTAGCAGTAATCCCCACGTCTCAGGGCAGAGAGCTAGCCCACATGATAAACCATGTAATCATCCACAGCAGTGGGCTCATCCTCTCCTTAACCCCTCAGCCATCACAACAGGGTGACTTTTGCATTGACCCTTCTGGCTAATTTCCCATCCCTGGCCTCATGTGTAGACACAAGAGGATGAGGAGAACATTTGCTCTTTAAAACTAAAATTTGTATTATTAACTGCTAAACACAGATGAGCAAGCAGCAGTGCCGCTGAGCAGGGATCCCTGCATTGATATTGTAGGCTCAAGGGGATTCCTGCTTCTTCATCTGGCACCTTTACACCTGGCTTTATTTCCTCTTTGATCCAAGGAAAAGGTTCTGCCAGTTCAGCTTTCAGTGCATCTGGCCCCCTACTCAACGGGCTGGCATACTGGACAACGGGGTGGGCTCCTTGGTGAAGAGATTGAGAGCTGGATTCTGCCCTGCTCTGTCCCTGGGTCAGTCATTTATCCCTGTGCAAAATAGGTGACTATCAGACCAGAATGGCAGCGTTCTGTCCCCGCTTTGCTCAAGTGTATGGAAGGGCAACCAAGGCCTGGAAACTGAGGAACAGTTCTGGTGAAGTGTCTGTAGCTGCATAAAAGCTAAAGTGATGTCTTTTTGTGGGCATTGAAGTAGACTAAACAGCTAAGCACTGCCAGTAAATGCACTTAGTAATTGGGTTAGCTGGTGTTACTCCAGCAGGTATGTATGAGAAAAGAAAATATCTGGAATAAAAAAAAATGCAACAGAAAAAGCCTCTCTCTGCAAAATGTCCATGACAACTGATAGGAGTGGCTACCTCCTCTCCTACATTATTATTATAGTTATACAAATGTTGATCACAAGCTCTAAGCACTCAGTAATATAATACGGGTTGGATCACAGAAACCCCCTTGGGAGCTGCCACCCGATGTGCCAAGACTACCCCTGCTTCTGTTTTCCCTGCCAGCTCAGGACTCCAGCGCCCTGTCTTGCTGAGTCAGACACTCCTGTCTGACTCCAACACAGACCAAGGGTCTGAATCACTTGTCCCAAAACTGCAAGTTTACCCAAAAACAGCTCACAGGAGTGTGCTTGTCTTTAGCACTCAGATGCCCAACTCCCAATGGGGTCTAAACCCAGATAAATCCGTTTTACCCTGCATAAAGCTTATGCAGGGCAAACTCATAAATTGTTCGCCCTCTATAACACAGATAGAGAGATATGCACAGCTGTTTGCTCCCCCAGGTATTAATACATACTCTGAGTAAATTACTAAATAAAAAGTGATTTTATTAAATACAGACAGTAGGATTTAAGTGGTTCAAGGTAGTAACAGACAGAACAAAGTAAGTCACAAGCAAAATAAAATAAAATGCGCAAATCTATGCCTAATCAAACTAAATACAGATAATCTCACCCTCAGAGATGCTTCAGTAAGTTTTTCTCAGACTGGACACCTTCCAGGCCTGGGCACAATTCTTTCCCCTGGTACAGCTTTTGTTCCAGCTTAGGTGTTATCTAGGGGCTTCTCCATGATGGCTCCTCTCCTTTCCTCTTCTCTTCCACCCCTTTATATATCTATCTTTTGCATAAGGCGGGAACCCTTTGTCTCTCTGGGTTTCCACCCCCCCCCTCACTGGAAAAGCACCAGGTTAAAGATGGATTCCAGTTCAGGTGACATGATCACATGTCATTGCAAGACTTCATTACTCACTTGCCAGCACACACA